AGCTGGCATTTCACTCTTGTTACCCAGGCTAGAGTCCAGTGGTGCAATCTTGGTTCTCTGCAACCTCTGCCTCCCGTGTTCAAGTGATTCTTTTGCCTCAGCCTCCTGTGTAGGTACAATTACAGGCGCCTGCCACCATGGCTGGCTAATTTTTATATTTTTAGTAGAGACGGGGTTTCACCACCTGGGGCAGTCTGGTCTCAAACTCCTGACCTCAGGTTATCCACCCTGTTGGGCCCCCCAACGTGTGATTACAGGCATGAGCCACTGTACCTGAATCTGACTTTGTTTTCTTTAAAACCACTGGACTTTGTCGACTCTGAAATAGCACTTGTATTTTAGCTCATCTAGATAATAAATATCATGTGTTATGTTGAACAAAATATCTAACGTAGCTATAGAGAAAACACTTTTTATTTGTAACTTTTTTATATTGTCCATAATACTGAGACTTCTACAGTGACTTACAGGGGATCTTAAAATCTGTCATGGAAAAGTACAATAAAATGCCACTTTAGTGAACACATGTTCAAAATACCTTAACATTACCATGTCACAACACAGTCTTTGATCAAATTGATACTTAATATCTTTTTTCTTATTTTGTGTGAAGGTGATAACTCAGTCCTCCATAATGTTTTGTTGAAATGTGTTTTTCATTTTAGGGACACTTGAGTTTCAAGGATGTGGCTATAGAATTCTCTTTGGCGGAGTGGAAATGCCTGACCCCTGCACAGAGGGCTTTATACAGAGAAGTGATGTTGGAGAACTACAGGAACCTGGAGTCTATGGGTGAGGAAAATGTCCCTCCAGACACGAGGAGTCTGCCCTTGTCTATCTTGACTCTTCCTGGTTTGTATTCTCTGTAGCGATTTTGCCCCATATATACTTTTGATGTACATGTCATTGGTTTCTGCAGTGAGGACCCTATTGGGCATGAATAGCTTCTTAGGGACTCTCCTATGCAGTGGCTTTACCTAAAAACAGAAAATTCTTGAAGAACGCTTTGACTAATACGATTGAACATCATCCTGCTCTAGGCAGAGATGCCCTTGGAAGCCCTGAGCAGAATTGTCTGCATGGTCCGGGATATGAGATAGAAAGTATGACACTGACTGACAAGTGTTTCCAGCTGTCATGCTGTTTTGTTTTGTTTTTTCTTTTTGAGATGGAGTCTCGCTCTGTCACTCAGGCTGGAATGCAATGGCATGATCTTGGCTCACTACAACCTCCGCCTCCCGGGTTCAAGTGATTCTCCTGCCTCAGCCTCCCTTGTAGCTTGGATTATACCATGCCTGGCCAGTTTTTGTATTTTTAGTGGATACGGGGTTTTACATTGATGTCCAAGCTGGTCTCGAACTCCTGACCTCAGATGATCCACCCGCCTCAGCCTCCCAAATTGCTGGGATTACAGGTGTGAGCCACCGCACCCGGCCTATTCTGGTTTTTGAGCAGCATCACAGAAGTGTCGCTTACTGGCACTGTGACAATGTTTATTTCATAAATTAATAATCATCTCTAAGCAGTGGTTAGTGTTGTTGATATTCTTCCTGGGGGGGCCATCATTCTGGCTCACAGCCTCATATGTATGAGGCTTTTGACTGAACTCTTGTTCACTTCACATTTTTCACACCAATATGTGTCATTGTTCATTTTTAGCAAGAAAACCTTTGCTCAATTTGTTGTGGTATCAACCCTGTAGCAGATATAGTTTTCATCAGTTTTATTGAGGGAGCTTGTGAGGTTGAATGAGGTCCCTGTATTTTAATTCCACTGTCAGTTAAGACACAGTGGCTTTCAACTTGTTCATTTGATTTTTTTTTTTTTTTTTTTTTTTTTTTTTTTTTTTTTTTTTTTTTTTTTTTTTTTTTGAGTCAGAGTCTCGCTCTGTTGCCCAGGCTTGAGTACACTGGTGCCATCTTGGCCCACTGCAACCTCTGCCTCCGGAGTTCAAGCGATTCTTATGCTTCAGTCCCTGAAGTAGCTGAGCTTACAGGCACTAGCCACCAAGGTTGGCTAGTTTTGTATTTTTAGTAGAGAGGGCGTTTCTCCATGTTGGCCACACTGGTCTTGAACTCCTGACCACAGGCAATCTGCCTGCCTCAGCCTCCCAAAGTGCTGGGATTGAAGGCGTGAGTCACCGTGCACTGCCCATTTCTATGTATTATAAATGCGTTTTTATTTTATTTAATCCTCAGTTCCCTGTTTCTGGTGATAGTCTTCATACTTTTTTTTAAATAACTGCATTGTGAGTATTGTACCATGGAGTAACTCTTGATTTCCTTTTTCCTTTCCCTTTCCTTTCTTTTCCTTTCTTTCTTTCTTTTTTTTTTTTTTT